TTCCACCGTCTAGAATCCAAATATGAGCAAAAGAAGCAACCTTTACGATCCACTTGTGGATAAAATCGAAAATATGAAGTTTGTGTTTATGAAAATGAGAGTTATGAGGTATGTTTAGATGAAAATAGAGAGGAAATGAGAGGAAATGAAGTATTGTTTGTTTAGAAAGTGAAATAAGTGGTTGAAATTTCATAAACACTAGCTTAAAGAGCTCATCAATGGTGGTTTTGGGTGGTTGCAAATATTGATGACAATGGCATTATGGTAAATAAGGAGAAATGTTTAGGGTGTAATAGGTTTTTTATAATTTTCGAAAATAAAATCAGATTTAAAAATAATGGCATTTTGGTAAATAGGTGGAAACATGAGGAAAGTTTAGGTTTTTTAAGAGTGAATAGTAATGACAAAAAAAAAAGAGATTGATTTTGTGTTTGACTTGAAATTTTAGGTTGGTTTTGCAAAAACCCCATAATATTAACTGGTGAAGTCTACTCTAAAGAGGACGTCGCCCATAAACAAAAATCCAGCCAAAAGAATTCGAGGCAATAGAAGAGCAGTTCACAAAAGCCCAGCTTAGAGGAAATTTTTAAAAAGGTTGTACACAATCGAAGCCCTCTGAACATCCTATCAAAAACCTAGCGTCTGCTCTCTCAGTTTTCTTATCAACTTTTCATGGACAAAGAGGGCATGAGGCTCAAAAAGTGCTCCACACCCACCGATGTAAATTTCATCTTCTCTTTTCTTCTGATTCAATAATTTTCTTTTTATTTTTTGAATGGTTTCTTTTGGTTACCTTTTTTTGCTTAATTAGGTTGAGCACACACATGACCTCAGTAATTCGAGGACAGGTAGTAAACTAGATTTCTTATTTGCGATACGTGTAAGATCTCTTCTCAAGTGTTTGTTTTTGTTATAGGGGAAGAAAAGAAACGCAAGAAATCCACCGTTCATGAGGACACCAATCATTCGTGGAAAGGTAAGCAATTTACTTCTTCTTTGGCTTTTAAATCCATCTCCTGTTTGGAAAAAATCTTTGACTAATCACTTTAATGAGCTTGTTTGTTGCAAACTATAATAGCTTAGTTTGGTCGTAACTGAATGTACAAGTAGCCATGTATCATTATGTAGACTTAATTTTAGATTATTTGTTTTTTTAACAATTAAATGCATAAAATTTGATTCAAATATATTGTAGATTCTACTGATTACTGTTCCCATTATACAATTCATTGTTCTTGTAAAGACCGTTGAGTCAATCTACGAAAACCTTCTTTTATTGTTGTACTGATCTCATATCCCTCTTTTCTGTCAGTGAAAAAAGTTGGAGCGTCCAAGAAAACTGCCGCTCATGATGCCACTATTGGTAGACTGGCCGCAACCATAAAAGAAGCCCATGATGTGATTAAATATCTCTAACCTAACCTCTCCATTACATGCTCGTCTAGCTTCTAATTCGTAAGATTTGTAATTTATTCATTTTTTCTTCTATTGGCAGGAAATCATAAAGCTGAGAGAATCTATCAAAGAGATGACTAAAACTATGAAAAAACAACAGGAGATATTATTGACAATGGCTGGAACTATGAAGAACCTACGGGTATATATATGTTTCATATAAGTGTTTTTTACAATTTTTTTGTAGCTTGCTTGACACATTATAGTTGATCCATGTGTAGGTGAAAGAAACCCCAAAAGAAAAGCCTGCAATCAAAAGAGAGTGTGCTTTTGAACGGGGTTATGATCGAAATAATAAGCAAACCATTTTCGTTAAAGGATATGATCCGTCCATGCGTAGGGATGATGTCGAAAAGGCATTGGTTGAACATTTTCGTTCATGTGGAGAGATCACAAGGGTGTTTGTTCCCTTCAAGTGTTACACCCTTACTAGCATAGGGTTTGCTTTCATGGATCTGAAAGAAGATGGTCATAGGAAAAAGGCTTTACTACTCGATGGAAGTTACATGGGAGGAAAGAAGCTTGAAGTTACGATGGCTTTTGACAGGGAAGAATTTAATCCTTACGAAACTATGCGTGGTTGTTCAGATTGTCGTCGTAATGTGCAGAAACACATTTACAAGAAGGGTTATGTCTGTGGTCGTCGGTCTATTCCACTTAGTGTGAGATGATGCAGCGCATCTTTACTTTTTTTTTCTTTCTTCCTTATATTTATCTTTTCTTTTTTATAAGAATACCCCGTATTCTATGACTTTTGCTTTTATTCGTTGCATAGTTTATAAATATAGCTAGAGTGAAACCTCTATAAATTAATAATGTTGGGACTACACTAAAACTAAAATTTTTATTAATTTATAGAGATTATTAATTTATCGAGATATTAATTGAATCAAAAATTCAATTTGGGACTAAGAAATTATATTAATTTATAGAGATATTAATTTATAGATTATTAATTTAAAGAGGTTATACAGTAGATATCTATTATATTAAAAGAGAAGTCATGACTCATTTCATGTGTGATTTTTAAGTTTGGACAATCCTTAGAATTTTTATAAAATTTTACATAACATCATTATATTATCTTTTCATATTTTTAATTTTTATTTGAAATTCAAATAAATAATTGTAAGAAAATTCTAACAAAATCTTTTAAAAATCTTATAGAATTTTTTCAAGATATAGTTTCAAAAATTATTTGATTAAAAATATAATTATCATAGAATCTAAAATTTTAATTCATTTTTAATTTATAAACAAAAAATTAAAATTATGTAATATACTTTTAAAAATATCCCAAAATTTTGTTTATGTATTATGTAGGTCCAATTTAATTTACTTTTTATATATATTTAAAATTTAGAAATAAAAAAATTCATAAATTAGTAATGTTACATAATAATGTTTTTATAAATTGTTACAGAAAATACAATTTATAAATTTTAAATTAATAATATTATAAGCCACATAAGTATTATAAAATTGGATAGTATTTACAATCAAATTATATTTACTTATTGATAAATTTTACTCCATTTGTTTCTTAATATATGATGTTTTAGATCATTGCACAAAGATTAAAAAAATTACATTTTTTTACAAAAGTATTTTTAAAGATATAATTTTATAATTATTCAACCAATAATAAAAAAAAAATTTATCGGTTGAACAGTTTCCAATAAAATTAAAGATAACTTTAAAACCTCAAAATATACCTTAAAATCTCAAAACATCTTCTATTTTGAAATATAATAAATCTTTTAAAACATCATCTATCTAAAACGGGGTGAGTATTACATAATTTCAAATATTTTCGTATTAAAATACCCGCACGGTTGTACGGGTCGAGATTTAGTCTATTATATTAAAAGAGAAGTCATGACTCACTTCATGTGTGATATTTTAGCTTGGACTATCTTTAGAGTTTTATAAAATTTTACATAAAATTATAATATCTTTTCATATCTTTAATTTTTGTTTGAAATACAAATAAATAGTTTTAATAAAATTCTAACAAAATCTTTTAAAAGTCTCTTAGAATCTTTTTCAAGATATAGTTTCAAAAATTATTTGATTAAAATTTTAACTATCATAAAATATAATTAAAATTTTAATTCATTTTTTAATTTATAAACAAAAAATTAAAATTATGTAAAATACTTTTAACAATTTATGTAAAATACTTTTTAATTCCTTTTTTAATTTTGTTTATGTATTATGTAAATCCAACTTAATTAATTTTTACATAGATTTCAAATTAGAAATAAAACAATATATATAAATTAGTAATCTTACATAATAATGTTTTTAAAAATTGTTACAAAAATACAAATTTATAAATTTTATATTAATAATATTATAAGTCATATAAAAATTATTATAAAATTGGATAGCATACTGAATCAAATTATACTTATTTTTTGATAAGTTTTATTATATAATTTCAAATATTTTTGTATTAAAATATCCACACGGCTGTGCGGGTCGAAATCTAGTTTTATGTTATTTGTAGTCGATATTTTGCTCTCTTATCTAACATGATCAGAATCTCATTTCGTTTCCGCCCGTAACAAAACCCCTAAATTCTACCATTGTATCTATAATACTAACTATTACCCTTGATGAAATGCTAATATTTTCAAAAAATGCTCCACACCCACCGATGTAATTTTCATCTTCTCTTTTCTTCTGATTCAATAATTTTCTTTTTCTTTTTTTGAACGGTTTCTTTCGGTTATTTTTTTTTGCTTATTTAGGTTGAGCACACACATGACGTCAGTAATTCGAGGACAGGTAGTAAACTAGATTTCTTATTTGCGATACGTGTAAGATCTCTTCTCAAGTGTTTGTTTTTGTTCTAGGTGAAGAAAAGAAACGCAAGAAATCCACCGTTCATGAGGCCACCAATCATTCGCGGAAAGGTAAGCAATTTCCTTGTTCTTTGGCTTTTAAATCCATCTCTTTTTTTTTTTTTTTTGTAACACATACTATTATATTAACTCTAAAAAAGTTTAAGCAATTACATCCAGAGCTAAGCTCAACGATATCAAGATAATAACCGGAGGGATCCTCGACCATTTGATGAACATAAAACAGAACACTAAAAAAAGTGATAACAAAACTAACAAGAGAGTCTTGCCCGGCAATTGAAAAACTGTGGGAAACAGTGTAAGAATACTTCATATTCTATGTGACCTATATGTCTATTGGTTTAATATAAAGTTCAAGTTCATATTAATGTTTTTAGATTCTAATATAAAAGGTGTTACCGTGATGGATCGGTTTCGATTAATGAATTAGAATCCGGGTGTATTGATAACCCTCCTACTTTACCTTTTATTTATAAATGATTTTAATCTCTTGATCATATACATATATATTATATGTATTAATAGTGATATATAATATGTATGACTATGCGTTGTTGTTGTACGGTTATTATAACAAAGGGTTATGTTAAAATCGTGGAAGAGTTGTGTTCCTTAACACACATGACACAACCTTTTGACTTTATATATATATACAAGATCTCGTGCATTATTGATACGTACGGTAAGAGACAAGAATCTTAAAAAGCACACAACAATAATACTGATTATTAGTAAGAGAGATTAAGGAAGGTTTTTGGGATTTCTTTTCCATCAAAGAAATCACCAAAGGAGAAGGTTAAAGGGGAGAACATCAATTGGTAGGATTGCATCCAAGCATGGATCAATGTTAGTCTTTCTACCTTCTTTAGAAATGTGTTAGGATTGAATTAAGTCAAATCTAAATTAGGTCCTGATGTTGATTCATGATTGAATTCATAAAAGAAACTAACATTGGTATCAGAGCCAGGTTTAGATTTGTTTAATTCACCAAAATAGTTATGAACATATACGGTACTATCCGTTTTAATGAGTGTTCATAATTTGTGTTAAATGATTCGGTACCGAAAGGAACTATTAGAATAAAGTGCCGTTATTAAGCGATCAAGGAACATGATACTTAAACGTATGGTATTATTTAAAGTGTTATGTTCAAGTATGTGTTCATGATTATGCATGTGAGTACGGCATCGTAAACGTACGTGACGATACGACTCACTCAATTAATCTATGAATGAGTTTGTAGTGTTTTAATTACGGAATCTTACGATGCCATAAAAGGCCGGCCACTAAATTGATGGGTCGTTATTGATTTGTGAAAGTTGTTCACGAAAGAAAAAAAAAAATATAACTTGCATAATCTGGGAAAATGATTGTTTGCTTGATGGCCCTCTGTCGACATGCGCATGCTAAATGATTCTGAAGGATGAATAATTGACTTGCAAGCGGTTGACTTTTTGTGACGGTTACAGTTGTGAGTATGAAAAGTCACCAGTAAAGTAACGTATAATAATAACATACGTGGGTGACTAGCTTACTTTAAGTTACAGAAAAAATGAAATCGTGATGCAAATATATTCTGGAATTATGCGCATATACATGCTTGAAAGATTGCATGATGAATTCTAATTATTCGATAAATCAAAATGGTTTATCATAGTACTCAAATAATTAAGAAATATTATATGGTTAGGTGTTCTATTTAGTTTTAGGAACACATTTAGTTATATAATATTTATTAATTTAAGATATTGTTTTAGTTTAAAATGCTTCCGCTGCATTTTAATAATAGGTAAATTATGTTATAAAATATTAACACATTATAGAGATAATTATGTTATGAAATATTAACATAATATAAGATAAATTTACCTATTAATGTTTTAATTTTTATATAGTTTATAACATGTTTGTCACCAAAATGACCTTGTTATTTACTTATATATATAAAAATTAATAATAATATAATTGATCATGGTTTAGAGAGAGATGCTAAATGATATTAAAATTTTAGTGATCAATTATTTTATTTTCTATATTTTAGGAGATCACCCAAAGGTGGATCACTGAATATAGTTAATAATATGAAAAGGATTAGTCATTTCTTTTACTAGAGTTGATAGTATTTATATCCAAAGGTAGGATGCTAATTGGCTTGAGTTTGAAATGATTAATCATTAAAGTGTATTTTAGCATCACTGAAAGTACTTGTATTTAAAATATTGCCCAAAGGTTATTTCAAATACAAGTTATAAAATATTATATTAGTCTGAATATATTAAAGTTTCAAAGCACTAATGGGTAAACATGTATGAATGCTTGCAGCTTCATCAAATGTGTTTGCATCTGCTAACTCTGTGGTAAAGTTTAATGGCCTCAACTATGGTGAGTGGTTCAAGCAAATCCGGTTTACACTGGGTGTAATGGCTTTGGACTCTGCCATACTAACTGATGAGGAACCCTCAGCTATTACAGCAGATAGCTCTGAATCTGAAAAGTCTCGTTATGAGAGATGGGAGCGATCTAACATAATGAGTTTGAACCTTATGAGGTTGACGATGGCGGAAAGTATTAAGCCATCAATGCCTAAGACAGAGAAAGCAAGGGAATTCATAGAGAAAATTAAGGAGTGTTCACAATCGGAATTGGCTGACAAGTCGATTGTAGGAAGTCTCATGAATGAGCTAACTACAAAGAAGTTTGACTGGTCTCAGCCAATCCATGATCATGTGACACACATGTCTAATATGGCAGCAAAGTTAACGACCTTGGGAATGGAAGTTCATGAGCAGTTTTTGGTCCAA